TTTTTTACTGTCTGTGATAACATGCTGACGACTTTTTAAACTCCATAATTTTCTTTGCAGACACCCATTTGAATCGTTTGTTCCTGAAATTGTATAATTATTCTCAAACAGCTTGTATCGTCCATTTTGTGGGTTTCGACAATATTAACGTCTGCAGATTCAGAATCTTCTTTGAACTAGATAAATGATTCTGACTATCTACCGAATTCGTCGCCTGGAATATCCTTATTTGCATCTAGATCACCTTCTCTGGATACCAAATATATAATTGACTTTTTCAGATTTCGTTGCATCTTCCGCTCGTTGCAGCTCCTCTGTGACAACATGCTGATTTATCTCCTTGGTACAGAGCGGCTTTGAGGTATATAAATCGTTATCATATCTTTTAGATTTGGTGGTATATTAACATTTCTCATTCGATTTGTTACGTTCTGCTGAAACTGAAGGAAGGAACAGTATAATTATTCTTAAACAACTTGTATCGTCCATTTTGTGGTTTTCGACAATATTAACGTCTGCAGATTCAGAATCTTCTTTGAACTAGACAAATGATTCTGACTATCTACCGAATTCGTCGCCTGGAATATCCTTATTTGCATCTAGATCACCTTCTCTGGATACCAAATATATAATTGACTTTTTCAGATTTCGTTGCATCTTTCGCTCGTTGCAGCTCCTCTGTGACAACATGCTGATCTATCTCCTTTTAAAACCGCCGAATCGTTTCGTGGACTATCCTTTTTTACTGTCTGTGATAACATGCTGACGACTTTTCAAAATCCATAATTTTCTTTGCAGACACCCATTTAAATCGTTTGTTCCTGAAATTGTATAATTATTCTCAAACAGCTTGTATCGTCCATTTTGTGGGTTTCGACAATATTAACGTCTGCAGATTCAGAATCTTCTTTGAACTAGACAAATGATTCTGACTATCTGTTAAGTTCTGCTGAAACTGAAGGAACAGCTTCATGTCTCATTTTAAAATAATAAATTGAAATTGTTTTATTTCTCATGGCATGCGTAAGTATTTTTTAGAACGTTGTTTACGTTTCACGAAGCAATACCTAGAACTGAATCTCTCATTTCCTGTGTTTTTAAAACCGCCGAATCGTTGCGTGGACTATCCTTTTTTACTGTCTGTGATAACATGCTGACGACTTTTCAAACTCCATAATTTTTTTTGCAGACACCCATTTGAATCGTTTGTTCCTGAAATTGTATAATTATTCTTAAACAACTTGTATCGTCCATTTTGTGGTTTTCGACAATATTAACGTCTGCAGATTCAGAATCTTCTTTGAACTAGACAAATGATTCTGACTATCTACCGAATTCGTCGCCTGGAATATCCTTATTTGCATCTAGATCACCTTCTCTGGATACCAAATATATAATTGACTTTTTCAGATTTCGTTGCATCTTCCGCTCGTTGCAGCTCCTCTGTGACAACATGCTGATCTATCTCCTTTTAAAACCGCCGAATCGTTGCGTGGACTATCCTTTTTTACTGTCTGTGATAACATGCTGACGACTTTTCAAACTCTATAATTTTCTTTGCAGACACCCATTTGAATCGTTTGTTCCTGAAATTGTATAATTATTCTTAAACAACTTGTATCGTCCATTTTGTGGTTTTCGACAATATTAACGTCTGCAGATTCAGAATCTTCTTTGAACTAGACAAATGATTCTGACTATCTACCGAATTCGTCGCCTGGAATATCCTTATTTGCATCTAGATCACTTTCTCTGGATACCAAATATATAATTGACTTTTTCACATTTCGTTGCATCTTCCGCTTTTTAACCGATGTATTTGGCTAGTAGAAACTGGAGCCTCCTCTGAAAACATAAAATATAAATATGCATTATTTTATGATACGTAAAGGACAGGATCACTTATTCAGTCTCCGCACTTTTGATTGGTATAATTTTTCTTAAAACTGAATCTCTTTGCTTTTCACCAACATTAGTAGCTGCAGATTCCAAACCTACCGTGGATGTAACATCTATTTCAATTTGTCCACCGAAATAGTAGCGTTGAACTTTTTTGTTTAAGCTCCTCTGTGACAACATGCTGATCTATCTTCTTGGTACAGAGCGGCTTTGAGGTATATAAATCCTTAACGTATCTTTTAGATTTGGTGGTATCTTCACATTTCTCATTCGATTTGTTACGTTCTGCTGAAACAGAAGGAACAGCTTCACATCTCATTTTAAAATAATAAATTGAAATTGTTTCATTTCTCATGGCAAGCGTAAGTATTTTTTAGAACGTCTGCAGATTCAGAATCTTCTTTGAAATAGACAAATGATTCTGACTGTCTAACGAATTCGTCGCCTGGAATATCCTTACTTGCATCTAGATCACCTTCTCTGGATACCAAATATATAATTGACTTTTTCAGATTTCGTTGCATCTTCCGCTTTTTAACCGATGTATTTGGCTAGTAGAAACTGGAGCAACGCCTTCTCTAAACACATAAAATATAAATATGCCTTTTTTTATGATACGTAAAGGACAGGATCACTTATTCAGACTCCGCACTTTTGATTGGTATAATTTTTCTTAAAACTGAATCTCTTTGCTTTTCGCCAACATTAGTAGCTGCAGATTCCAAACCTACCGTGGATGAAACATCTATTTCAATTTGTCCACCGAAATAGTAGCGTTGAACTTTTTTGTTTCGAGCTCCTCTGTGACAACATGCTGATCTATCTCCTTGGTACAGAGCGGCTTTGAGGTATATAAATCGTAAAAATATCTTTTAGATTCGGTGGTATCTTCACATTCGATTTGTTACGTTCTGCTGAAACTGAAGGAACAGCTTCACGTCTCATTTTAAAAAAATAAATTTAAATTGTTTCATTTCTCAAGGCAAACGTAAGTATTTTTTAGAACGTCTGCAGATTCAGAATCTTCTTTGAACTAGACAAATGATTCTGACTATCTACCGAATTCGTCGCCTGGAATATCCTTATTTGCATCTAGATCACCTTCTCTGGATACCAAATATATAATTGACTTTTTCAGATTTCGTTGCATCTTCCGCTTTTTAACACATGTATTTGGCTGGTAGAAACTGGAGCAACGCCTTCTCTGAAAACATAAAATATAAATATACATTATTTTATGATACGTAAAGGAAAGGGTCACTTATTAAGCCTCCACACTTTTGATTGGTATAATTTTTCTTAAAACTGAATCGCTTTGCTTTTCGCCAACATTAGTAGCTGCAGATTCCAAACCTACCGTGGATGAAACATCTATTTTAATTTGTCCACCGAAATAGTAGCGTTGAACTTTTTTGTTTCGAGCTCCTCTGTGACAACATGCTGATCTATATCCTTGGTACAGAGCGGCTTTGTTTGACGTTCTTGATTATTATTTTTATTGCCAACTGTGGAATTGACCACTTCTGTTATGTTTTATGCTCGCTGATTTCTCAGTGGCATTTTTTTAACAACATTTTAACAATTTAACAAATTAAAGTTAGTAAAGCATTCCTGCGAAATATAGACTGTTCCGTTATTATAATGCTACTTGTTTGTAAGTCCAACGGATTTGCACTATGTCACTCCAGAAATTTGCCTTGGAAAACATTTAATATTTACAAAATATTTTTGTAAAATTCTAATAAATGATTGATTTCAAACGATAATAAATGAAACATTTGCAAAAACAAAGTGTTATAAGTCACCTGAATTTGTTTCATTTTGAAATAGATTGTTAATTTGTTGACATATTTAGGAAACAATTAAAACATTAATACATATTACGGAAATACATTTTAGTGCGGAATTTAAATAAATATAATACATGTTTATTCTTTTTTATTACAGCATTACTTGTCTTTAAGTCTTCAAGATGAAAATAAAATCTCAGATTTTTATTTATGTATGTTTTTATTTATTTATACCATTTATATTATTATTTTGCATATGTTTTTGCTATTACTGGCTTTGTTTAAGTCTCTTTCTATCAAAAGAAAAATCCATCAGATATTTTTAGCACTAACCTTAAAATTAAGTTCACTATATTAAATAGAATTAATTTAATAACAAATTGGAGACAAAAACTAATATCCGACGTATATTTTGTTACCCCCTTATTCACAACAAAAACTTACACATAGTCTACACAGCTTAGCGGTTTAGTGTAATGTATTCTAGTGAACTGTATCAAGCACAAAATTATTAGTAAGTTTTTGGTGAAACAACTCATTTGAAATAAATACATTTACGATAGAAACGTAACATATTGTACGTTGTAATGTGTATGACTCAGTTGAGTGAAAAAGTACAGTTGATGTTTTTGAAATTTTTACGAAATACGTATAAGATAATACTTGAGAAGACTTTTTATTGGACTTCCATTACTGCTTACAGTTTTTTAAATAATAATCTAATAGTGCATAATAGCGTTTAATCTAATGAAAGATACTGATATTTCACATGATACGTACAGTGTACAGACTGTGGTATAATTTTTGTTATGAAAAAGGTTGTTAATGCAAATGAATAATAGTTGTAATTTTACATGTATGAATCGATAAGAAAATGTATTCAATACTAAATAAATTAGTACATGCAAAGCATTCATCTTAGACAAACTTGATGTATTTTCAACATTTTCACAAATATATCGAATACGATTTGCACATTATTTTAAATTGTTTATGTTTATTTTAGTTGGTAGTATTTTCTTATCAAACAAAATAATATTTTTAAGGAGGAAAACAAAATAGAATTCAAAGGATTTTGTGTGTGTTTCCATGTTATATAAATAAGAAATTTTTTCTTGCCTCGTGTTCATCATAAAGTTGTTTTTCTATTTAAGTTCAAAGCGTAATAAGGAAGTGTGGTTACTGTATGAAATTTAGAACATGCGTGTACAATTTGAAATGTTAATATTACTGGCATCTTCATAGATTAATAAATAATTTTGTGTTCCTAATATTGCTGTACTACAATTTTCATTCAATGAGAAATTTATGTGATCCACTTTAGATCGTGATGTAAGAAAAATTGAAGATAGTACATGGTTAAACTTTTCGCGAAGGTCGTACTTCCAACCGGCTAAAACTGCACCTAGTTGTTTAGTCAATTTCATGAGGCATACATCCGATTAATATCATGCTGATATTTATCTTGAATATCTTTGCGTTTCAACTTAAAAGCAGCTGTAACTAGTCCCATGTCTGGTGACCAAACTTCCTTGCATAGTGTAATGGCAGCTGGAACTTCAAACTTTTGTAGTTTACCTAAATTAAAAGAAAATGAAATGTTTAGTACTGCAGTAGTTTAAATTGGCAATCACTCGCATACATTTACGTGCATGATCGGCAATTTCTTTAATAACTGCCTTTTCTATTTCCGAATTAGAACAGAGCTCTTCAAATGTTTTGCCTTGAAGTCCATGACGGAGGGACAACTCCTCCAAGTGCTTCTGATTCGGTACAACAAGAGCAACAGTAAACTGCTTGGTTGGATCACCATATACACATATATTTTCAACAAGAGGACATGTCTTGAGTTCCGATTCCACTTTTCCAAGGGAGACGTATTCACCAGCTTGCAACTTGACCAAGTCTTTTTTGCGATCTTATTTAGAAATGAAAAAAACTAAATAAAGCAACAAATTAACGAATTATTACGCTGATACCTACCAATAATTTTAAGTACGCCATCTGGATGCATTTCACCAATATCTCCGGTTTTAAACCAGCGTTTGCCATCCTCCTCAAAGAAATCGTCGGCTGTTTTGTTTGGTAATTTATAATAGCCCATAGAAACACATTCTCCACCAACAAGAACTTCACCCTAAGAAGGAAACGTTAATATTTTCGATAAACTACGAGTGATTACATACTTGGGGATATGGTTTATTTGTGACTCTATAGCCTCCTTCTTCCCAATTCACTAAACGTATATCACAAACTGTCAAAGGTGCGCCAACACGACCGTACTGCATATCACGATCTTTAGAATTGAAAAACAAAAGTAAACGTAATTTTAATGAAATAAATGAGTTTGAAATTGTTTTAAAGTTGTATTACAATCCATAACAGTCGCTCCCGATGTGGTTTCAGTTAAACCGTATCCTTGGATTAGATCGACACACAAACATGTTTTTATCTGCTCATGTGTGTCGGGTGAAAGTGGTGCTCCCCCGGACATCATAATACGAACACGTCCTCCCATTAGCTTGGCAACTTTCTTAAACACGAGTCTAAAATTTTTTTTTTTGAAAAATATTACTGATAAACAGTAATAGTTAAAACAAAAATCAATAAGTGTTACCTATCAATCAATGGCGTCTGGTATCCTTTTTGTGTCCACTTCACTTTGTATTGGTACAGAAACTGGAACAAAGCTTTTTTGAATGCAGATCCGGAATTCACCTTATCATTAATGCCTTTAGATATACGATCTAATATAAGCTGATAATAGGAAAACAATTAATATAACTTTTGTTGGTAACAAAAAAACTATTTACATACTGGTACAGTTGTCATACAAGTTGGTTTTAAGACGGTAGCGTCTCCTTTGGAGCCTCTCATAATCTTACTGCTAGTGTCTATTAATGTCAAAGGCGTGGAATATCCAATCGGCACGCCCGTCATTAAACATACACTTTCGGCAACCAGCTCAAATACATGAGCTAGTGGAAGAAATCTACAAAAAAAAAAAATACTAAAGTATGCTTTCAATATATTTCTAATAAGTGCTTACCCTATTAAGACGTCGTCGGGATAGATTGGAACGACATCGCAAAAACCTTTCATTGTTGCAATGCAGTTTTTATGTGACAATAGGACTCCCTTTGGTGTTCCTGTTGATCCAGAAGTATACATTATAATGGCGATATCGTCAGCTTTTGGTGGAACGCTCTCTAGAATAATAATAAAATAAAAAACAAAGTGTAGACGTTATTTAGAATAAAATTTTAATATCGCAACAAACTGAGCTGATAATTATCTTCATGCAACATTACAGTATTAACATACCAAATTTACTATCCTGGCCTAGACGTGTAACTTGTGAGAACGGTAAGATTTTTACGCCTTCTTTAAATCCTGTCGTGTCAGTTTTATGTAATTGGTCTTCCATGTAGATTATCGTATTGACGTTTGGGCATTTGTCCAAAAGCAGTTTGAATTTAGGCAGCAAGTCATGGGATGTAATAACAGTTGTCACTTCTGTTTCACTTATGCAGTGAGCCACGCCTTCATCTCCCAATGTTGCATATACCGTAACAATTGACATGGATTGTTTGAAACAACCATGTGCCGCAATCATCCATTCAGCTCGAGTCTCTGCAAAAATGACGATATTCTTCCTAGGTTCTTGGCCGCATTCACGCAAACCGCGACCAAAAGCAGCTGCTAAACGTTCGGATTCGATAAAGTTCTTCCACTTATATTCACCCATTTTGTACTTTTTAAATATTCTGCCATTGGGTTGGACTTCATCTTCTTCACTCAAAATTTGACGCGTGCCTAGGCAACGTTTTGATGAATGAGTTTTAGCGACGTAATTGAAAACTTTTTCAAGAGTATCTATGTTGTCCTGCAACATTTTTATATGAACATCTCTGGGAGGTTCTATTGTCCGATAACTTAATGCTGCCTCGTCACTAGACACAACTTTTGCCTGTAATTATATGTGCATCAAATTAGTATACTCATACAAATTTTATGAATACTTATAATCAAAATAGGTGCAAAGTTCTATCAGTTCCCGTTGGCCAATACGAATTTTAAATATCAAGTTTCCAAAAAAAAAAAAAATGTATATATATATATATATATTTGTACAGCATTTTGTTTATAATATATTATACGATACATAATTGCGTATTACACTATTTAATATCTTTTAGAACTAATTTCTAAAAATTATTTGCAAACACCAAGAAGAAGAAGGCGCATTGAGTTGGCATTGGTAGTCTGAGTCGTTATTATATATTCGGTTATAAATTGGCTTTAAATAAAATGCATCTTAGAGGAGCAGATCTAGAATCCTCGGGTGTATCTCCAACTTTAGTTTCATTGGTTATAGATAAAGACTGAAGTGCTGAACTTCAGAATTGTACTTCTAACGATCCTGGCGTAGTGCAATATTTATTACGAATTTCCATAAATCCATGTTCGAATGGTGATATACATATATTTTGATGCAAGACGCGTCATTCTTATCTGAGTACTGTGCACCTTGCTGTTTTATCGAATACCGAATATATCAGGAAATCATATATACTATGTTCCTAAAATTATGCGGTAAATTAATTGATTATAATATTAATTTAATTTACATGTCTAATTATTTAGGCGTTATTATATATTCTATTTATAATCCATTATTATATTAACTTTTGCGGTTGGCGTAGTCGTGTCGAAAATTTTGCACAGTAGTATTTATATGAAAAATCCGTATTATGAAATTGCAATACGTCAAAAATTGTGTCAACGACAGCATAAAAAACTATAAAAATATTTTTAAAAATTTATTTTTACAAATTTTTCTGATTAATTGTTACATTAGACTTTATTTTATTGCATTTCCCATTATTCATAAGAATCCAACATGCCGGACAAATTATAAGAAACAGGCTAAAAGACGTATCTTTTGCAATACAATATTAAAATGGCTTCTAAGAATACAATATATATTCTATTTATAATCCATTATTATATTAACTTTTGCGGTTGGCGTAGTCGTGTCGAAAATTTTGCACAGTAGTATTTATATGAAAAATCGGTATTATGAAATTGCAATACGTCAAAGATTGTGTCAACGACAGCATAAAAAACTATAAAAATATTTTTAAAAATTTATTTTTACAAATTTTTCTGATTAATTGTTACATTAGACTTTATTTTATTGCATTTCCCATTATTCATAAGAATCCAACATGCCGGACAAATTATAAGAAACAGGCTAAAAGACGTATCTTTTGCAATACAATATTAAAATGGCTTCTAAGAATACAATATTTATTTCGATTTTGTAATTGAGTATAGGAAAAGTCTATTACAAAATAAGGCAGTCATAAATTCTACATAATACCGACCCAAAACGTCTACGTCTGGAGAGCTGGCGTACTATAAGAACGCATACATAATAAGGGTGCATACAAACTTATATACTGCAACTGTAGTTAAATATACATTGGTGGTCACATAGTTAAAGCAACTCCTACAGTTTTGATGTGTGCTCTGGGCTTATATTAGCAACTATACCATCTTCCCACCGTCATTGTGAAAAGGCAAAATCAGACCTTTTATACTTCCTATTCAATACATAGATTACTGGGTTTCGAACCGAAATATCTTACAAACAAATCGCAAAAAAGTTCTCCGTTTCTACGTATTTTTAACACCAAGCAGTTATTTATTACACAAAACAGGTATATCATCCTCAAATGTTTTAAGTCAGTTATGTATCAGAAATGAAAAGTTGCTACTTATACCACAAATCCATAAATAAAATAAATAGGTCGAGACTTGATTATAAAATCATGGGAATGGATATATGTGTCAGAAGAAAAGCTCACCACGAATACAATTTAAAACCCTAAAATAGACTTCAAGTCAATGTCTATAGATTACGCAAAACGCAAACTATTGCGAAACCGTTGAGGCATTAAAGCCGAAATGGTACTATGAATGTATACCAATATAATCAGGCACATACTCACATGTGGAGTGCTTGTTTTGAAGATATACTACTCAAAATTAGAAATAAACCTAATTCTGTTTTTACACGATAGAATGGTTCCCGAGAAGTTCGTGTAAAAAAAATCGTGTAAAAAAAGATACTGGCCAAGTACAAAAATAATAGATTGGTTCTAGACCTCAAAAAAATAAGTTAAAATTAGACCAAATTAATTAAAAAAATATTGTTGTAGTTATTTTAAGAATTTATTTTCGTTTTAATTTATTAAATAAACTAAATTATAATAAAATAAATTAAAATTTAGATTTCATAAAAAAATAATACCAGAAATTCATTAAGAAAACAACTTAAATAGCATAAAGTACAACCATAAGAAAAATTTAAACATTAAACAATTTTATTTATTGTCACTGTCTGATAATAAACGTAAACGTTTGCAAAAGACTTCAATATCAATGCCATCACTGGAATGATTTTGTTGATGATCATTATCATTTCTAGCCGACTGTGTTGGGACATCAGTAGATTTTTGAACGAAATCAGTTATCTTAAATTGAGTTTTCCCTGTAAGATGCCATCAATGATTTCAGTTCACGTTGCAATTTGGCAGCTCGTTCCTCGTCATGATCATGTTGTTCAAAATGACTACCTAATTTTGTAGCGAGATCAAGACCTTCTTTAATTAGAGATGCTTTCAAAATTGGACGATCTCTTTCGTCACTGTCACTATGTTCTTTATCATAACGAGTCTCAAGGGTGAGATCTATAATTTCATTTTCGCTCAAGCTTTCATCTACCAACAATTCTTCTACATCTGCTAACGATAGGTCATCGTATCCATCCCCACCGATTGCATTGGCCATTGTTATTATATCAGCAAGTTCAGCGTTATTATCGATAACAGGATCTTTGCATTTTACGCATTCTGTCCAAATATTTTTCCAACACGAGTTCAAAGTTGTTGCCTTTATAAATCTAATGCGATCTTGACTTGATTAATGCAGTCCATTATAGAAAATTTTTTCCATTCATCTATGACTGATGATTCCTCTTATTATCAAGTTTTTCTAAAACATAATGAAATGAACTTCTTATGTAATACGTTTTAAACGTAGCAATTATCCCCTGGTCTAATGGCTGTATAAGGGAAGTGGTATTAGGCGGCAAAAAACAAAATTGTACGTTTGGGTGCTCCAAAACTGGATGGCCTGGTGCATTGTCTAGAATCAAAAGAACTTTAAATTCGAGACATTTTTCTTTCATGTAGCGCCTAACTTCTGGGATGAAGTGCTTCTGAAACCACTCTGTGAAAATTGCACTGGTTACCCAAGCCTTTTTTTCGCCATCCAGTGTACAGGCAATTTATTGAAATCTACACTTTTCATGGAACGTGGTCTTAAGGCACGATGTACTAGGAGTGGCTTAAGAATACGTTCTCCTGAAGCATTGGAACAAAACAACGTAATACGGTCATTTGCTACTTTAAAACCACCGGCTATTTTCTGCGATTTTGTTACATAAGTTCTTCTAGCCATTCTCTTCCAAAAAAGGCCGCTTTCATCTAAATTCCAAACTTGGTCTGGAGTATATTCTCCATCTTCAATATTTTTTTTTAGTTTTTCGGGAAATTCTTTAGCAGCCAATTCATCAGCGGATGCAGTTTCTCCCTTAATTTTTATATTGTGGAGAGCGTGACTTTTTAAAAAACCAGTACTTGCGGAAAATGCATGTTGTTTTGACTGAGATGATGTATCTGGATCAATTTCCTGGATACGTTTATAGATTCTTAATACTGTCTGCTTGATAGCAAGTCCGTCTACTGGTATTCTCTTTTGGGATTTGTCTTCTATCCAGATTACCAAAGCTTTTTCCATTTTCTCTTTAACAACATCCCTTACATACGATGATGACTTTGCACTTAATTTTGTTCCAGAACATACTGGTGCTCTAATTGCAGTTTCATTTTTTTTTAATTGTTCTTACAGTAGCTTCATGGATTCCGAAATTATAATTGTCAAATAGCAATTATAATTGTCAAATAGCAACTAAATTGTGTGTACAATACATTATGTACATTTTTACTTTTTCAATAATTCGGGGAATCCCGCATTTCCCGTAAAACAGAAATTACGCATACATAGACATAACTCAGAACACACACCAGAATTATATAAAATGTTGCCATATCAGAAATTCATGCCATGCAGGGTTGTTACTCTAATTAAGGCAGGGATGTTTGAGCAAAAGCATTCCAGAATTTTCTTCAATAAATAAATAGTTCATGTAAAAAAAGTAATTTTGTTTTTTTTTTGTATTCGTGTTATTTCAAATTATGTCGTGTAAAAATAGAAATATTTTTTCGTATTTACTCGTGTAAAAATAATTCGTGTAAAAACAGAATTAGCTGTATCATCAGTTACAGAAAGGCACACATCGTGGACACAGGAGCATGCCATATACAACCAATAGACTTCATTGGTAAATCTATAAGGACGATATTTTCTCTGATGAGGCATACATATCAATCCCAGTAAAGATTCTCGAGCTCTGTAATGTTCTAGTAATAATAGAAGCTTGCTTCATACATATTACTCTATAGAGACATCGGATACATTTAAAATAATTTTCTAACAATGCGATTCAAGAATGTCGGATAGCGTCTTCTATAACTGTAGACCGACAGAACATATCAAGTTATTTTACAATGCGATTGTAGCATGTCGGACAACGTCTTCGATCACTGCAAAACCGACAGAAGATATCAAGCTATTTTACATGACATACAATATTTGTCTGTCATCAAACCGGTTGATAAATAAACGTACACAAATTTAATAAAATACAGTGGAATATTGTTTCTCTTATGCAGAATTTTCTCTTATTTCGAATTTTCACTTATCCGAATTCGACTGTACACATTTAAGGATGAACTCTTCTTCCAACCAAAAATTCTAGTTGCATCCTAATAACATAGT